GCAACCTCAAGGTCCAATGCTAGTGGACCGAGCTCATACTTTGTGGGGGTGAGGTCCAAAGATAAGAAGGTGAAACTTAATTTGGGGGTACGTCGTGCTCTCCACGCTTCTCCAATGAACATTAGCTTCCCTCCAAGGAAGTGAACTTCCGAATACATCTTTGTCTTCTTTGCTTTGGTTGTTTCCATCTTATATCATTTCATTTGTGGTAGTAACTACTTTTTGCATGCTCATCATATACGGTGTCACACTTAGTCATATAATTGGAGAACTTATTTATCTACAATACCCTATTTTCTAAGAAGGATTGAAATTTGTAGTCCCCTATTCACCTCCTAGTTGATATATTAGGCCATTCGGTTGGTATAAGAGACAATGACACTTTATTAATTGTTTGCTGCCTAAAGAGTAAGATGACGAACGAGGAGGGAGCTCAAGTAAGCTTTACCTATAGGGGGTGCGGAAGACAAAGTTAAAAACCAAACTCACAACCTCCATATGTGCAAACATGAAAATGAGTTAGCCAAGCCCTTAAATTCATGTCCCTTGCGGCTTCTAAATCCTCTTGCCAAAGAGGTTGATAAATCAGAGGACAATAACATCATCCAGTGAACCTGAGAATTTTGTTGACATACTTTACCAACATATCCCTCCACCTACGCCCCTTCCACATATTCATAACCTTGACCACACACACATATTGGATGGAACATGTTTTTCTCATTGTTCTCATGGAGTATCATTGTTGTAGGGAAGCGACCATGGAGCTTCAGGGTTCGTCTCATCGTCATTGAGTGTCACGAGCCACCGGAAGCAGATATGATGCCAGAAATGCGAGTTCGTCAACCCAGAAGGAGTAGGACATGTCTGCCCCAACTAGAAAGACTTAGGACATGTTTGGTTCAAGTTTTAAACAGTAGCTGCATTCTGAACCCAGCCTGGTTGAGCAAAAATAGCCTCAAATGCGTCATCTACAAGTTGTTTGGTTGCTTGCATCTAGGGTCCCTTATTAGGTAATACGTAAGTGCACTTTGTTTGGTTGCCTGCATTGGCCCAAGCGGCACATGAACACGGTGTTTGGTTGCATACGGCGTACATGCATGGTGTGCTTACCTTGTACCCTAGTTGGTGAGCTCACCCACAATGATCACACCTAGCACACCAACGCCACAACACAGCAATGGCGATGAACTGGGCAAAGATGATGAAGTTCTTCAACTTCAGCCCAAACTGACGATCCACCTTAGCACCTTCCACTTTGACACCTCCAACCTTGCCACTGTCAACGCTGCTGCCTCCGTGCTTTCGCACCCAGTCGGAGTAAGCTTGTTCTACTGCCTGCCTAGTCTTGAACCCTCTATGGTTGTTGTTGCTATACGATGCCACTTGTGCACTGGCTTCTTCCCATGAACTGTAAACCCCTGGAGCCTTACCGATGAACACGACATACCACTTACCCTAGCAATGCACAAGAGCAAGAGTTGAAGCAGCAAATCAATGGAGCACACAAGTAGAGAGCAAAGTAGCACACAAACAACAATGGAGCATAAGAGAAAAAGTAAAGCATGCATGATCATACGGCATAGCAAGTTCTACCTAGCACTACCATGGTGTTATCCTACCACCACATCCAAAAGAGGGTGTCGTCCTAGCACCGCAAGTTCACCATCATCGTGAGGGGTTAGTATGTACCACCTCACCAAAATATACAGACCATCAAATAGTTTTCCAGCCCTAGCTACACAAAATGTATGTCGTCATCGTCATCATCGTCGTCGCCACTGCCATTGCCATCGGGGATCATGCACGCTCACAGGCAGCACTACTCTAGTAGTAGTGCTTGCCCAGCCAGCTCCTGAGCCACAACAACCTGTGAGCGTCTGCCATGGCAACAAACCCAACACCCTGAGACTTGTTGTCAAGCAGGTGGATGAGAGCTTCCATGAGAGCCTCGTGGCCGAAGCCACCCTGGGTCATGACAACGCCATATAGGTCAGGGTGGATGTCGAGGGGATTGCACTCCCTGATGGCTGTTGCCACCTCCTTCACCGCCTCAATCATGCTGCAAAAGACATTGATCACCTCCTCCATCAGGCCTCCTCTCTTCCTCTTCCTATCATGGCCGGGGTCACATGGCTTGTCGAAGGGCTTCTCGAAGGGTTTGCCAGGGCCATCAAGGACCTCGACGTCTGGGGTCCCAGGGAAGTCTGGCATGGGAGAACCAAGAGGCTCCCCCAAGCCCATGGCACGCTTACTAGTTGCCAGCCCGAAGGAGAAGATGTGATGCATCTGGCTGTAATTCTGTATGGGTGTGTTGAGGAACTCAACGTTCCTTGGGTGGTCCTAAGAATGAAACACAAATGTTGTTACTTGCGATTAGGAGTAGGCAATGGTGGATAGTATGAAAAAAGGGCTATGAGCTAACCGCGACATGGCCGGCGTAGTGCTCTGCCTCCAGAACTATGGAGCAAGTGTTCTCATCCCATGAGGCGCCGCTAAGGTCTCTCAGCTTGAACACTTGGATCCATCGACCTCTCCACTTCCTCAGGTGGTTGTACACCTGGGTGGCGGACACCTTCTGCCCACAGAACTCGAAAACCCGCTTCGCAACGGTGTTCAAGTGCACCTCCTTGAAGCCCTTGTCAGTCCTAACTCCACTAGAGATGAGCTCACACATCTTGTTCAGCACAGACGTGGACATGAACGGCTATCACTTCATGTTGTTCGACCTACCATCCTTCTTTGCCTTTGTTGTTGCTACCTTGAGTGCAGCGGCAACAACAGTAGCAGGAGGAGTTTGCTCAACGAGCACTGCACATAGAAAAAATCAGACGCGAACACCTCTGAATCAGGTGCCATCTCAGACATAGACTGCGAGTCCTCGACAAACAATGGAGCAAACTGGCTGTCGGACAGGATAATGGCCTGACTAAGATCTTGCGTCTGCGTGGTCATGCACTACAATCGTATCACGCATTGACAGTAGGCATAACACACAACATACCGGACAATACATGAAAGTAGGAGCATACATGTACATGGTTCATCCCTATCATACCAAGCACATGCTTCATCACTATCATACTGAACACATGGTTTATCGCCATCATACTAAGCACCGGACAATCTATGAGCAGGAACATACATCTACAACAAACAACATGCTACAAATGGACCACCAATAGTTACAAATCACAGATCTAAGCACGAATCAACACAAGCACAAGGTTCAACTTCAAACTCTACTACTAATCTAGCCTACCACATGCTTGAACATCTAACCCTACCACAAATTGCAACTGCAGCATAGCAATCAACCATATGAGCTCACAGATTAGAGCACTAATTAACCATGCATCTACATCAAACCCTAGCTACAGCTCAGATCTAGCTAGAAGGAACATAGAGAAAAGGGGGATTGAACTCACAAAGGCCATGGCTGCAACTCGAGGACGAGGGGGGAACGGTCGTAGAAGATCACCGCCGGCCGGTGAAGTACCGCCAACGTCGTGGACCGCCATCCGATGAAGATGCACCGCTTACCTGCTCATCGGTGCCGATGCGCGTCGGTGGGAAAGCTCGAAGGGAGAGAGAATGGTGGCGGGAGTTGGGACGGTGAGGGAGAGGGCTAAATAGGGGCGGACTCGGCGGGAGGTGAGCCGAAATCCTCCCGCCGATTTTTCGGCGACGCGGGCGAGCTCGCGCCATCTCCTTGGTCGCACAAGGAGAGAAGCGCGTCGCCCTCCCCTGTGTTGCCCGAGCCAGGCTCGCGAGCTACTGCCGATTCGGGAGTTTCCCCTAGGCCTGGCCTGGAGGTGCTTTAAATTTCATGCCATGCGGGCCGCACAGTAAATGCAGGCAACCAAACGGGCCAATTTCTTCCCGCACAGGCCAGTCTGGGGCATATGCAGGCAACCAAACACGCCCTTACAACAAGGATCTTGGTGCTCATCCTTTCAAATACCATCCAAACAGCCGGATGGGTGGGTGGGTGGGGGTGGGGGGAGGAGGGTTGGGGGCTCAGGTCTCCAACGCTCTGCATGACTTCTTGAAACATCCACCCTAGTCATCACCCACACAGGCGAACACTCCAGACGAGTTCAAAACAAAAAGCGATAAGTAGCCGCTGTAAAGGTAATAAGAACACACTTCGCTTAGAATTAGAAGTTAGAACCACTTAAGCTCGCCATCATGGTCCACATCGAAGCCTCCCTCGATCTCCCAGCTGGAGTTCACCTCGCATTCACAGGTGCCTCCCAGCTGGAGTCCACCCACACTCACAGGTGCGTCCCAGCTGGAGTCCACCTCGCATTCACAGGTGCCTCCCAGTTGGAGTCCACCCACACTCACAGGTGCGTCCCAGCTGGAGTCCACCTCGCATTCTTAGGTGCCAGCCGGCGCCGTATGTTCCAAAAGCCAGCAAATTTGTTTTTGGACAACATAACTGACTTGGTAGGTTTTAGCCAAAATTAACTATGTTACTGGCATTGTTATACTCCTATTATATAATAAATAAAACGGGCTGCATGTAAATATTTTTGTTTTGCCAGTTGGCCAAAGTGCTGTGTGCCCCACACACTCCCAGTTCCCCGTTCCCGTCCCATTTTCCTAGCCGAAACACATCCATCTTGACCTACCCACCGACAGCGGCGCCCCACCGGTCAGTGCGAAAAAATGGGGTTCCCGCCCATGGGCGCCCCCCGCTCAAAACGCAACCCACCCGACCACGCGGACGGACCAGTGGCACTAGTACCCACCCGCGGTACAGCACTAGTATATCTAGCTAGGTCGAAGAAAACAAACGCGAAGGCCCAGTAAAAATTCTTCATCATCAGCGGAGCGCTGGTGCTCATGCCACTCATCACCCCTCGTCACTAGCAGGAGGCGGTAGAGTAGGGTAGGGTAGAGAGAGCGAGCGAGAGAGGGGGCGGCGGGGAGGCCGATGCGGGAGATCCCACGGGGGGTCGCCGCAGCCGGAGGAGGAGGAGGACGAAGAAGAGATGGACACGCCCGATAGGCCCCGCGCCGGCGCCGCCGCCGGATTCGAGGTCCGCTTCTCGGCCCGGGCCCTGATTATTTCCGGGGGATTTAGGGGGGAGCGATTCGTGGGGGATCGGGCTTGCGGGCTGGGGGTCGGCGGCCGGTTCGCTCCTCCGGTCCGTGGACGCGCGTGCGTGGATTTGGTAGTGCGGTGGGCTGCCCCCTTGTTTCCGGGGGGTTCCGGGTGCTTGGATTCGTTCGGTGGGTTAGGTCTAAGGGGATGCATTTGGTGTGCGATTAGGGTTTTCATTCTGGCATTTAGTCAGCACTTTGTGGATGCTGTATTGGTGAGATTTAGGGGCCTTTCCTGGCGGTAGAGGGGCTGGGGTTTGACTTCATTTCTGAACAATCATGCGATCTCCAATGATGTTATGGGCGTCCTCCCTCGGGATTTTGTCCATTCTTATCAAATGAACAGATTTGATTGTCGATACTGGGGTTTAATTGTTTGCTTTGATTATCCTCTTCATTTTCCTCAAGTATTAGATGCTCTGATGCGTGCATTGTTAAGAAACAGAGGTTTAGTATGGGAATTGGTTTTCAGATCCGTGCCTTACAGCAATGGCTGCTGATTTAGTTACATTGTTGGTGGCATATCCATGGGAAATTGAAGTTCTTGCCGGCTATTCATACTTCTGACTAGGGATTCTGCCTTCAGCTTGGACACAGAGTTTTATTAGGAGTACTACTTGATCATGCATAGTTGCATACATGGTTGTGCCAATAAGAAATGATGATACCAGTGTACTTTGCCTGGTGCTAGAAAACTTGTAGTCCTGATGTCCCTCACATTCTTCACCCTTCATTTCATTTGGTTGTGATTGAGAACTCTGTTCACCAGGCCTTTCTTAATTCTGTTAAATAATGATGTGCTAGTGGTCTACAAATTTAGGATTTGATTGTGCCAGTGCTCCACACTAATTTTCTTCCGCAGCATTGGGTTATTTTGCATATTTACATGAGTCTATAATCTGTAGGTCAAGGATAGTTGTTTGTTTGCTAGTGTAACCTATGGTTGATCCATAATTGGTACATTCAGGATTCACCCACCCTCTGCATTTGTTGATTTTGTAACCTTACTAAGTTGGATAACATGTACATTTTCTTGCATCTGAGCTCACTTTAATACCTGTGAGGAGATGAATATATGCACTTTCAAATCCTCTGAAAGATAATCCAATAGTTTGTTTGCTAATAAGATTTTTCCTACCTGCAGGACTCCCCCGTCTTCAATTTTATCAATAATCTATCTCCTATACCACCTCCTAAACCTCAAGACACATCACATAATGTGCACCTATTCAAGTCGTCTGACTTGGCTCCTGTTTCTTCAATCTTTGCCTCACCCCATGTCAATCCACCAAAGGAATCTAAACTTCTGATAAGGTAAATTTGTATTATTTTTGTAACCTGTGTTTAGTTTCATCCATTTACGCTTAAGGTTTACTATGTCTTTTCATATTAACCAGGGATGATTCTGTTCAACTTTCTCAAGATTCAAACTCTCCTAATAGTGTCAGAACTCGACTAGGGAGTGCTATTAGGTTGATCAAATGCAAAAACATTGTTTCGGAGAATTGCAGTTTCACCTGCCACCTAAATCAGGGACCTATTGATTCTTCTGCCAATAGATCAAACTCTACAAGTAAATTGCCTCAAACCATCCAGTTTGTTGGTGACAGTTCAGAATGTGGTAAGAATCAAAATGCTGATGGTAAAAAAGATCTTGCTAGAGATCAGGAGAGCATAGAACTAGAAGGTGCCCTCCTTGATCACACTGGCCCAGATAAAATCGACTCATCACAACCTGGAAGAATCGTTCATGAAAACCAACAATGTGAACAACAAAAGGATGGATTTACAGCATATGATGGGGATTACTTGATTACACACGAATCAAGTATGGATATGCTGAGATTAGCCCCACCATGTGAGACAGATACACAGTTAGTGAATGAGACACTAAACGCTGATAATGTGTTCTCTGGCAATTCCTTGCTGACCGATGGGCCAAGTGGCTCTTACATCAGCAATGCTGCACATGATCCAAATCTTTACTGGGATGGAACGGTTGAAGGGCCCACGACAGATTATACCCCCCAATTGCTCCCTGGTGCTTGTCAAAGTCAGTCAGTGTCAAATGATCAAATCTGTAATGCAGTTGAAGAGCCCAGTGATCACATACCAATCGACCAAAGTGTATGTATACTTTTATCTTCTTTGCTGCTATGATTGTTTTTGGACATGGTCCTCATATTGGCTTACAGATGAATAATAGTTAGGTGTTTAGTTTTCTAACTGGATGAGATAATGGTTATTTACCCTGGATGTTACATCTTGCAAGATTGACAATTAAATGTAACAGAACCGAAAGTTTATTCGGATTCTGCTTCCACTTTGACAATTTGTTGTTGATATCTTAACAACCTTAGCATTAAGGTTTAGCTCTCTGCACTCTTTATTTTTTAAATAAATCTAATCTTGCATACATTGCATATTGCTGGTTCTTTTACTACCTGTCACTAATCTGGCTGAAGAGTCAATGTTCTTATCAGTTATCACAGCAAAATAACTTCTCTTACTGTTCTGGCAGGCCTTGTCACAGAATATGCGTGGTATGCGAAGGCGTTGCCTTTTCAATGAAAAGGCTGGGGCTGTTAACAAAGCTGCCAAGAAGACCTCGGATCGCCATTCTGCAAATACAACTACCCCCAGATGCAAAACTAATTCTGGTGATAAGCCTGTGCGAACCCCTCCATGTGCATTGCCTGGTATTGGCTTGCATCTGAATGCCCTTGCCCCAATATCAACAGACAAAATAGTCCCCCAAGCTGCTCAATCTTCCATAAATCAAGCCAGCAACTTCCCCTGTGCTGTCAGTTCTTCAACATCTGAACCAAATATTGTAAATGAAGATTCCTCTCAGGCAATCGTGGTTGCAAATGCTGATGAGTCTGGTCAGGGCAGTCCCAAGAAGAAAAGGTACAATGTCTATGCCTGTCATTTTATGTCACCAGCACCATTTTATTGGACAAATCATGGAAATGCAATATTACCGTGCAGACACAAGTTTGATGATGGTGATGGGACTTCATGCAAGCGTTGTAGCTGTAAGAAGTCAAAATGCTTGAAACTGTAAGGTCTCTTGTACCTTTTCTTTGATTTCAATCTACTGGATGCCACAAGATTAATCCAAACATGAACAAGTTTGAATATTGGTTCTCTAAATGTACTGGCGCTGTTTATGCACTTGAGGTCGAAGATGCAGGTGTGCAGGGTTATCATGCTGTATCAGCTGCTCCAAATTTTGCTGTAGATAAATCACTGTAGCCTCTACATGATTCTCTAGGCTTCCTTTTATAGTCATCTCCCTCTTATGATTACCTCATTTATCACTGCATTTCTGAGCTGGTTAATATTCAACATTTTCTTTAGGTTTTGTGCTTGTTGTGATTCGCTGCGGAGTCTAGTTATGGTAATCTTTACAGGTTTTAGCAAGATTTTCCTGTTATGCCTTGAACAAAGATGTTTTTGAATCTCATGTAGTTACATCATCCAATTTAGAATAATGTACCACAAAGATAAACACAGCCTTGTTAGTTGGCCACATAAGTTTATTCTTTTTTTCTTTCTGCTGGGCAGGTAGCTGAATAGTTAGATTTTGCGGGTCCTCCAGCTCTTCAAATTTTCAGTTTTTCTGTGTACCAGTTTGGTCACATTAGCGATGCTTGTTTTGACTGAATTATTGTCAAAATTGTACTAAAATTGTTTTCCTGTAATTGTTGCACATTTTGACCTGTGCAATACTGATAAAGGAAAATCCTCCTGACCTATATTTTGGATCTCTACAGATTGTCGGAGATGTCATATAATTTTACATATCTTATTGCTGAGAAAAGTTAGTTTAGTTTATTAAAAATTACCAATACCTTATGCCTACAATATCCAAATCTCTCCGTATCCACCTTGCTGGCCTCTTTCTTAGATCTTCATCTTGCAAAACTGAAATATGGTCAGGAATTTTGCCAATTTATATAGAAGGTTTCCCACAGAAACAAAAACATATTGGTGGGTGTTTTTTGTTTCCAAACCAATAGAAGACTCAGCCTGGAACACCCACAATTACTCCCTCCGTCCCACAATATAAGATCGTTTTTCAACCTAACATAGCTTGCAAAAAATCTTATATTGTGGGACAGTGGGAGTACTACTGTAGTGTTTATGGCAAAAATTGGTGAAGACTCAGTCTCCAGCGCTCCATGTGGTTTGAGTCCCAGCATCATCTAAGGTTCTATTTGGCATGACACTATATGGTTGAACTGCTTTTAGATATTTGGGTGTTTAGTTAGCGTTTTTTTTCATAAGAAGCCAGTTGCAAATGGATACATTATTGTACTTTAGAACATACGAGACTAGGATACTATAACAGTTGTTGGATAACATAACTTTCAACTTTATAATCTGCTCTACTTTAGAGTATAGACTTTTTCACAACAGTTTAAAGTTAAGCACAGCACAGCACATTAACCACAGACTGAGCCTCACAGTCCTTCACCTGTTCTACACAGCAACTGATGGTGGTATACTGACATGATAATTAGTCGTGTTGTAAGGCTTCTATCTTTTCTGATGACATAATAATCGGCATAATTCAATATGAGCAAAGCCTAAAGCAGAAAGCTGTGGTGCACTTGGCTAATACACAGTCACACTCACTGTATCACCACATCTGGTCTTCTAGCCACCCCTATATACTTTAATGAAGGCCATTTTGGTCTTTCATCACTAACTGTGTAAGACTTAAACTAGTGGTGTAAAACGTTCTAAGGGTACAGTGCAACTGACTTAGGATTTAGAGGAATTTAAATGAAGATATCTGGTATGGGTTGTTAGTTGAGCTATCAGCTACTGCGGTCATATGCATAATGAACTTGCTGCCATAGCACCACACCGCTAGTGAGGTAGCTAGGTATGCCTCCCAAGAATACGACCATAAAGGGGAGATGCTAAAATATACTTAAGTATAGATAGAAACAGTACTTGAAATGTCCATGTCTGTGTGAGACTTCTCTTTTTCTTTTAGATATGCACATCAACAACTGCAGATACTATTACTTGAAATGAATTTGGTTTGACTGGTTAAACTATACTTCTTTTGTTAACAAATCAGTTTGATTTTTTAATTATTTTTGTTGCCAAAAGGTGCTGAAAACGCAGACAAATTTAGATGATGCATTCTATCTGATGTATTGATGACTTGGCTAATTCTCATGCAGTTACTGCGAGTGTTTTCATGCTGGAGTCTTCTGTTCAGAACCCTGTTCATGTCAAGGCTGTCTGAATAAGCCTAGCAACATGGAGATAGTTCTATCTACTCGAGAGCAGATTGAATCTCGTAATCCACTAGCATTTGCTCCTAAAGTGATTCGGACATCTGAGCCTGGTCAGGAATCAGGGGTAAGAACAATTCTTTCATATTTAACTTTCTTTCCCTTCACCATCACTCATACCATTTGTCCAACATTGTAGGAGTACTCTAACAAAACTCCTGCCTCGGCTCGTCACAAAAGAGGCTGCAACTGTAAGAAGTCATCGTGTCTAAAAAAGTACTGCGAATGTTATCAGGTACATACTCTTATATGGTTTAATATTCTTTACTTAGCTGGCTAGCGTACCTGAATTTGTATTACTGTACTCTTCATCAAGGGTGGCGTGGGATGCTCCATAAGTTGCAGATGCGAGGGATGCAAGAATGCTTTTGGTAGAAGGGAGGGTGAGCTCCTTTTATCTCTTTTTATATACACTTATCTTATAAATCTGCAAACTTCTGCATGCATCACAGCGCATAGTTTCATCTTTAGCCTTTAGGTTGACAGCACTTGCTTCAGACAAACAAAAGTACAAAACATACCCAACAAGTGTTCTTTGATTTGTCAATACATGTTACTCTCTGAAATGTGCTCTATTGACAATGTTTTGTAGGAACGATGTGATAAGTTTAGTTTTTTTTTTTCCGAATCATGTGATAAGTTTAGAAGACCTGGCTACACTGGTTTAGTTTTAATTTGGACCATTGCCTGCTGAAAATATAACCTGTTTCTGTTAGAGGCTGCCAGCCATCATTTCCTTATAACCACAATCACACCCATACTACCACATCATTATTGGTGTGCTTCTGCAAATTTTTGAAATGAAAATATACAGGCAAGACATCTGATGATTAGCTCGTAAATGGGTGGTGTTATTTTGTGTAAAGTAAGATGTCACAGTACATTGTAAACATGTACATAAATTCTTTTTAAATGCAATAGCACCAAATAGGCCAATGAGAAAGAAAAGGGATAATCATCTTGGTGGAACCAAAGTTTTGGTACTTGTGTGACTGACATATCTCTTTCTTGTATTGTTCACTGAAATTTTGGTGCTAGCCATTACTGTTAAGTAGAAGGTCGTAAGTCTTCTTGAAATTTTGTTACTAGCCATCAGTATCTACCAGCTTTTGATGTTCCTTTTGTCCATTGAAGGGCTCGGACCGTTAAGCATTGAGGAAGCTAAGCAGGGAAATGAGGAAAATAGTGCTTGTGTGAAGGAAGAAAAAAAGGAAGATGATAATAATCAGCTCGTTATCTGCCCAGCTGCTAATCCAGCTCCTGCTGAGAATGTACTGACAACACCTTCAGCTATGGATATCAGGTTTGTGAGTCACACCTTTGTGGCTTTGCACATATGTTACCATGAAATGTGAACCTACTGTTAGGTAAAATACTGAACTTTGAAGCAATTTTCTATTCTTCAGACCCTTGGCTTCTCTTCCACCTTCAAGCTCTAAGAGGCCACGGTCTACGACAAAGGTCCTCGGACATCCTTCTCGACTATGCAACTCTCAAGCTCCTCTGAAGACGGACACTGTGCTCTCCCCATTTGAAAACTATGCAGAAATTATGTTTGGGGTGGGTACATCAGATAGCCTGAAAGGAGGGTTATCTCCTCAAACTTCTGTCAAGGTCGTGTCACCGAATAAAAAGAGGGTATCTCCCCCGCGCATTGGTACTGGGTTGTCTCCAATTTGCAAGAGTGGCAGGAAGTTGATCCTGAAATCCATCCCTTCATTCCCTTCTCTTGGTGGTGATGTAAATAACGCGGATACCAAGACCACCTTGCCAGCTCCTTGAATTCATCAAGCATTTGTCACTGAGGTAAACCTTTATCTTTTCCTCGTCGAGATGTAAATTCAGTTTCCAGTCTTTATTCATCCAGTTAACAGCTATTCCTATGCAGGTCATTTCATTAGTTCCTTGTTGATTCCCCAGATGGCCAATGCCTCGTAGCTGCATCAGCTCCTTATCCTTGAGAGTTTAATGAACATCCAAGGGAGTTTTATTTCGCCAGTTCTTTTTAGAGCCTGATAAGTATCCCATGATCCTATAGTGGACCGTTGAATAATAATGTACCAAAATACCCCCTCGAGAGTCTTCGGCATGCTAGTAATTATATCCACACCTGTGGAGACAGAGTCCTTGTTGAGTTGCACATCCATGTTCATCTGTATAATTAATTTATATATTTTTGAATCTATGTAACTGTAACTGAGATCAAATCACCGAGCCTTAGATGTACTTATGGTCAGAAACCTTTAAGATTTATATGTAAGAACTCTGGGTATTTTGGGCCTTCGAGTATGTGTTTGCCAATGAACTTGATGAAATGTCTGATTCCAGTACCAGTGGAGTGAAGGAGTCAATTTTGCTCCCTTCCGATCACGGAAATATTGGCCTACATAGTATTAATGGAACTACTCCTATAGAAGTTGTATACGGAGTACTACTAACCACATCATGAGGAGAACGGTCGACCAAGGGATAATAGAAGAATCAACCAATGAGCTACTCTATGGATATATTCCACAAACGGCGAGGTTTTAGATTGTGCAGAGACGAACACAGCGTCTTCCTCCCGCTTTGACACCCTTTGACCACTGTGTACCTGACAAGGCATTGCCTTCTCTTTCACCTATACTCCACAGACGTGAGGCTTTAGCTCATGAAACATGATTCTAAAGAAAGGCTTAAGATGAGCTTGACTTTGAATTAACAAAGCCATCAACTCATCAGGATTACATCTACCAACATTGAAACGAAAAACCAAAAGATACATAGCGATGTGTAAACACCTAACTTGGAGACCCCTGCAAAAAAAAAGTTTCGTCTAAACCACTAACAAAGATATGGGAACAAAGGCACTACTGTAGCTAGAAGTCAAAGAAGCCATCCACAACGAGTAGACCACCACATAGATACACAAGCAAGACCTTGAGGAGGAGGAGGAACAACCTGTTGGTAAAGTAGCACCTTTGTCAGCTCCATGAGGTTTGGCCGACTCGGTAATGACCTCTTTCATCTCCGAAGGGGGCTCCCTGCCCCCTTTACCCTGTCATGGAGGGCGTCGATCTGTCGAAAGATGGAAGACGCCCACCCAAGGGCTAAAGCGTGAACCAACGCCACTGCCATCCAGAAGACCAAATTAAGGCATCGCCACCGTACTTACTTCAAGCTCAACCAAGGGAAACTTTAATGTTGATTAGGCACCCGCACACGAGGAGAAGCAACTACATGGCTAGGTTGTTGATGACAAAGCAACAAAGGAGTAGAGGCAAGCAGATAGAGTTAAGAGACAACACCAAGTTCGCAAAGAAGAATCCTGAGCTCACGCCACCCCTGGTAGGTCATGGCAACCCCAGGAGGGGAACCCTTTTTTTTAGAAAAGGAGGATGACCCCCGGCCTCTGCATCTGGGCGATGCATACGTCCACTTTATTAATTATTGTCACGAGACCTTACAAAGTCATACAAAAGTAAGACTAAAGCCGCCGTCTAAGCAACAAATTGTCGCTATACCTATCCAGTTGATGAAGGGGCGCAGATAGCCTGGGCCTAATACCAAACAGACATCGCAGCCAAGCCTAACATCTAAGACCTGAGACCCCAACCTACCCTCTTGCCGGGTCTGGGGCACACACTGGTCCGGCGTGCTCTCAGAGGCCGCCGCCGCCAACTGCCACCGCTCCATCTTCAGAATTGTACTGATGCATCAACCTTGCACCAGGAGGGGAACCCTATCCCATGCTCGATTGTCCTCCGTAGGACGCCGGTCTCAGACGAGAAGGGATGACCATGAGCGGCCAGAAAAGAGGCAAATAGGTGCGGCCTCGCCGCACCAACACAAGCACACAACCTCCGACAACGTCACCACCAACCGCCGAACAACCAGACCAAGCACACTGGCACCCAAAGCGCATCGAAGGCGACACCCACTAGAAGGTGACGATTCCCACATCGTTGCTCTGCCCGATCCAGAAGTAGGGGACGACGCTGTAACACCCACGATGCGGCTATATCTCCCACGTGTCGGAGCACGACTTAGATGCATAACCGCATAGTAGGCATGTCGCAAGAAGGGGTAATCTTTACACATCACATGTACTGAATAAGAAAGGGATAAAGAGTTGGCTTACAATCGCCACTTCACACAATACATAGATATAGCATACATCATCTAGAATACAATCAAGGTCCGACTACGGAACCAAATAAAGAAAGACAACCCCTAATTGCATAGATCCCCGATCGCCCCGACTGGGCTCCACTACTGATCAACTGGAAAATGAAACAACACAACCGACACGATCTTCATCGAACTCCTCCTTGAGCTTGGTTGCGTCACCTACACGGTTATCATCGGCACCTGCAACTGGTTTTGGAAGTAATCTGTGAGTCACGGGGACTCAGCAATCTCACACCCGCGAGATCAAGACTATTTAAGCTTATGGGTAGGAAAAGGTAGTGAGGTGGAGCTGCAGCAAGCACTAGCATATATGGTGGCTAACTTACGCAAAAAGAGAGCGAGAAGAGAAGCAAAGCACGGTCGTGATCTAGAAGTGATCAAGAAGTGATCCCGAAACTACTTATGTTCAAGCATAACACAAGAACCGTGTTCCCTTCCCGGACTCCGCCGGAAAGAGACCATCACGGCTACACACACGGTTGATGCATTTTAATTAGATTAAGTGTCAAGTTCTCTACAACTGGACATTAACAAATTCCCATCTGCCCATAACCGTGGGCACGGCTTTCAAAAGTTCAAAACACTGCAGGGGTGTCCCAACTTAGCCCATCACAAGCTCTCACGGTCAGCGAAGGATATTCCTTCTCCCAGGAAGACCCGATCAGACTCGGAATCCCGGTTACAAGACATTTTGACAATGGTAAAACAAGACCAGCAAAGCCGCCCGAATGTGCCGACAAATCCCGATAGGAGCTGCACATATCTCGTTCTCAGGGCACACCGGATGAGCAATCCGTACAACTAAAACCAACCCTCAAGTTTCCCCGAGGTGGCGCTGCAAGGGTCTCTAGTTTGGACCAACACACAGAGGAGCACTGGCCCCGGGGGGGGGGGGGGTTAAAATAAAGATGACCCTTGAGTCTTCATAACCCAAGAGAAAAGGCTTAGGTGGCGAATGGTAAAACCAAGGTTGGGCCTTGCTGGAGGAGTTTTATTCAAGGCGAACTGTCAAGGGGTTCCCATTATAACCCAACCGCGTAAGGAACGCAAAATCAAGGAACATAACATCGGTATGACGGAAACTAGGGCGGCAAGAGTGGAACAAAACACCAGGCATAAGGCCGAGCCTTCCACCCTTTACCAAGTATATAGATGCATTAAAGTAAACAAGATATAATAATGATATCCCAACAATAATCATGTTCCAACAAGGAACAAACTCCATCTTCACCTGCAACTAGCAATGCTATAAGAGGGGCTAAGCAAAGCGGTAACATAGCCAAACAACGGTTTGCTAGGAAAGGTGGGTTAGAGGCTTGACATGGCAATATGGGAGGCATGATATAGCAACTGGTAGGTATCGCGGCATAGCAAAAGAGCGAGCAACTAGCAAGCAAAGATAGAAGTGATTTCGAGGGTATGGTTATCTTGCCTGCAAAGTTCTCCGAGTTGATGTAAGCTTGATCCTCGTAAGCGTACTCAATGGGTTCCTCAATCACGTACTCGTCTCCCGGCTCTACCCAAGGCAAGAACACAAGCAAAGGACCAACAATCAATCACGGTGCAGTGTGCAAGCAACATGATGCAAAACACGGCATGATATGCGGGATGTGATATGCAATGCATATGCGAGCTCCGAAAGGAAAAGATTGACCTAGGCCTCAACTTGGCAAACCAAGTGTGCCGCTGGAAAGATGAGTTGATTTTGGTCGAAATCGATATAAAGATCATCAGAATCGGATGCATGGTTTGCAAATGGCAAGCAAAACAAAAATGGCACAATTCTGCGATTAACAGCATGATGCCAACTAGTATGCAACAAGAAACTAAGATACTGCACCCCAACATAGCAACAAATCACATGGCAGTGATCTACTCAAGATGCTTGACAAAAGATGAACACTGAGCTACAACTAAATCACACAAGAGCAGGTTCAAACAAGCATGGCAAAAGTGCAAAAGATAACAACATCACAGACTTAGTGAAAATAACAACATGCCAGGAATTAATATCAGGAAGCAATGTTTAGAGCAAGATAACAACATGCTATTGCAACATATCATGGCAAAACAAGGCATGACATGAATCTACTCAAAGCATATAACAAAAGCCCCTTACTGACCATAAGCCAAAAGGGCACAGAAAATATGATGGCACCCATGTAAACATAGCAAGTTTCGTTAACAGATTCAGACTTAGCAGAAAACTGGACAAGGCAAAAACAGAATTATGAAGGCATGTTTGCGAGCTCGATGCACTCAACATAAGCCATTGCATGATAAACTAAGCATACTACCAGCAAGAAGACATGTTCATGAAGCTAACCAAAGCAAGAACAAACTCATAGCATGCATGGATCAACTACAACAACCTTGGCAAAATTGATTAACACGTAAACAATCTGCCAGGAACATTTTATAGCAAAAGTAGAGCAAGATTGAGTCATGCTAGGACACTCCATAAATGCAAACAGGGACATGGATGGATAGAGCATAACCATATGTCCAAATCATCCTTACTGAACATACTCAAAAGAAGCATGGATCTCACTGTAGCAACATGAATTCATGGCATAAAAATAACAACGGAGCAAAGACTTAGTGAAATTCTA